AATGTTGTTATTAGCTGTTTTTAAAAATCGAGTGTTTTTGCTCCCAGAGGAAGAAAACGCGTGATGCCGGGGTCAGAAAAAAAGCTGCCCAGGACCAAAAAAATTTTTTTGACTCAAATGTAACAACGGATGCTAGAATGTGGTTCGGGGTGGAATTCCATGCTTAAAAATGTTATTATTAGCTGTTTTTAAAAATCGAGTGTTTTTGCTCCCAGAGGAAGAAAACGCGTGATGCCGGGGTCAGAAAAAAATCTGCCCAGGACCAAAAAAATTTTTTTTGACTCAAATGTAACAACGGATGCTAGAATGTGGTTCGGGGTGGAATTCCATGCTTAAAAATGTTATTATTAGCTGTTTTTAAAAATCGAGTGTTTTTGCTCCCAGAGGAAGAAAACGCGTGATGCCGGGGTCAGAAAAAAATCTGCCCAGGACCAAAAAAATTTTTTTTGACTCAAATGTAACAACGGATGCTAGAATGTGGTTCGGGGTGGAATTCCATGCTTAAAAATGTTATTATTAGCTGTTTTTAAAAATCGAGTGTTTTTGCTCCCAGAGGAAGAAAACGCGTGATGCCGGGGTCAGAAAAAAATCTGCCCAGGAGCAAAAAAAATTTTTTTGACTCAAATGTAACAACGGATGCTAGAATGTGGTTCGGGGTGGAATTCCATGCTTAAAAATGTTATTATTAGCTGTTTTTAAAAATCGAGTGTTTTTGCTCCCAGAGGAAGAAAACGCGTGATGCCGGGGTCAGAAAAAAATCTGCCCAGGACCAAAAAAATTTTTTTTGACTCAAATGTAACAACGGATGCTAGAATGTGGTTCGGGGTGGAATTCCATGCTTAAAAATGTTATTATTAGGTGTTTTTAAAAATCGAGTGTTTTTGCTCCCAGAGGAAGAAAACGCGTGATGCCGGGGTCAGAAAAAAATCTGCCCAGGACCAAAAAAATTTTTTTGACTCAAATGTAACAACGGATGCTAGAATGTGGTTCGGGGTGGAATTCCATGCTTAAAAATGTTATTATTAGCTGTTTTTAAAAATCGAGTGTTTTTGCTCCCAGAGGAAGAAAACGCGTGATGCCGGGGTCAGAAAAAAATCTGCCCAGGACCAAAAAAATTTTTTTTGACTCAAATGTAACAACGGATGCTAGAATGTGGTTCGGGGTGGAATTCCATGCTTAAAAATGTTATTATTAGCTGTTTTTAAAAATCGAGTGTTTTTGCTCCCAGAGGAAGAAAACGCGTGATGCCGGGGTCAGAAAAAAATCTGCCCAGGAGCAAAAAAATTTTTTTTGACTCAAATGTAACAACGGATGCTAGAATGTGGTTCGGGGTGGAATTCCATGCTTAAAAATGTTATTATTAGCTGTTTTTAAAAATCGAGTGTTTTTGCTCCCAGAGGAAGAAAACGCGTGATGCCGGGGTCAGAAAAAAATCTGCCCAGGACCAAAAAATTTTTTTTGACTCAAATGTAACAACGGATGCTAGAATGTGGTTCAGGGTGGAATTCCATGCTTAAAAATGTTATTATTAGCTGTTTTTAAAAATCGAGTGTTTTTGCTCCCAGAGGAAGAAAACGCGTGATGCCGGGGTCAGAAAAAAATCTGCCCAGGACCAAAAAAATTTTTTTTGACTCAAATGTAACAACGGATGCTAGAATGTGGTTCGGGGTGGAATTCCATGCTTAAAAATGTTATTATTAGCTGTTTTTAAAAATCGAGTGTTTTTGCTCCCAGAGGAAGAAAACGCGTGATGCCGGGGTCAGAAAAAAATCTGCCCAGGACCAAAAAAATTTTTTTTGACTCAAATGTAACAACGGATGCTAGAATGTGGTTCGGGGTGGAATTCCATGCTTAAAAATGTTATTATTAGCTGTTTTTAAAAATCGAGTGTTTTTGCTCCCAGAGGAAGAAAACGCGTGATGCCGGGGTCAGAAAAAAATCTGCCCAGGAGCAAAAAAATTTTTTTGACTCAAATGTAACAACGGATGCTAGAATGTGGTTGGGGTGGAATTCCATGCTTAAAAATGTTATTATTAGCTGTTTTTAAAAATCGAGTGTTTTTGCTCCCAGAGGAAGAAAACGCGTGATGCCGGGGTCAGAAAAAAATCTGCCCAGGACCAAAAAATTTTTTTGACTCAAATGTAACAACGGATGCTAGAATGTGGTTCGGGGTGGAATTCCATGCTTAAAAATGTTATTATTAGCTGTTTTTAAAAATCGAGTGTTTTTGCTCCCAGAGGAAGAAAACGCGTGATGCCGGGGTCAGAAAAAAATCTGCCCAGGACCAAAAAATTTTTTTTGACTCAAATGTAACAACGGATGCTAGAATGTGGTTCGGGGTGGAATTCCATGCTTAAAAATGTTATTATTAGCTGTTTTTAAAAATCGAGTGTTTTTGCTCCCAGAGGAAGAAAACGCGTGATGCCGGGGTCAGAAAAAAATCTGCCCAGGACCAAAAAAAATTTTTTTGACTCAAATGTAACAACGGATGCTAGAATGTGGTTCGGGGTGGAATTCCATGCTTAAAAATGTTATTATTAGCTGTTTTTAAAAATCGAGTGTTTTTGCTCCCAGAGGAAGAAAACGCGTGATGCCGGGGTCAGAAAAAAATCTGCCCAGGACCAAAAAATTTTTTTGACTCAAATGTAACAACGGATGCTAGAATGTGGTTCGGGGTGGAATTCCATGCTTAAAAATGTTATTATTAGCTGTTTTTAAAAATCGAGTGTTTTTGCTGCCCGAGGAAGAAAACGCGTGATGCCGGGGTCAGAAAAAAATCTGCCCAGGACCAAAAAAATTTTTTTGACTCAAATGTAACAACGGATGCTAGAATGTGGTTCGGGGTGGAATTCCATGCTTAAAAATGTTATTATTAGCTGTTTTTAAAAATCGAGTGTTTTTGCTCCCAGAGGAAGAAAACGCGTGATGCCGGGGTCAGAAAAAAATCTGCCCAGGAGCAAAAAAAATTTTTTTGACTCAAATGTAACAACGGATGCTAGAATGTGGTTCGGGGTGGAATTCCATGCTTAAAAATGTTATTATTAGCTGTTTTTAAAAATCGAGTGTTTTTGCTCCCAGAGGAAGAAAACGCGTGATGCCGGGGTCAGAAAAAAATCTGCCCAGGACCAAAAAAAATTTTTTGACTCAAATGTAACAACGGATGCTAGAATGTGGTTCGGGGTGGAATTCCATGCTTAAAAATGTTATTATTAGCTGTTTTTAAAAATCGAGTGTTTTTGCTCCCAGAGGAAGAAAACGCGTGATGCCGGGTCAGAAAAAAATCTGCCCAGGACCAAAAAAATTTTTTTTGACTCAAATGTAACAACGGATGCTAGAATGTGGTTCGGGGTGGAATTCCATGCTTAAAAATGTTATTATTAGCTGTTTTTAAAAATCGAGTGTTTTTGCTCCCAGAGGAAGAAAACGCGTGATGCCGGGGTCAGAAAAAAGCTGCCCAGGAGCAAAAAAATTTTTTTGACTCAAATGTAACAACGGATGCTAGAATGTGGTTCGGGGTGGAATTCCATGCTTAAAAATGTTATTATTAGCTGTTTTTAAAAATCGAGTGTTTTTGCTCCCAGAGGAAGAAAACGCGTGATGCCGGGGTCAGAAAAAAATCTGCCCAGGACCAAAAAATTTTTTTTGACTCAAATGTAACAACGGATGCTAGAATGTGGTTCGGGGTGGAATTCCATGCTTAAAAATGTTATTATTAGCTGTTTTTAAAAATCGAGTGTTTTTGCTGCCCGAGGAAGAAAACGCGTGATGCCGGGGTCAGAAAAAAATCTGCCCAGGACCAAAAAATTTTTTTTTGACTCAAATGTAACAACGGATGCTAGAATGTGGTTCGGGGTGGAATTCCATGCTTAAAAATGTTATTATTAGGTGTTTTTAAAAATCGAGTGTTTTTGCTCCCAGAGGAAGAAAACGCGTGATGCCGGGGTCAGAAAAAAATCTGCCCAGGACCCAAAAAATTTTTTTTGACTCAAATGTAACAACGGATGCTAGAATGTGGTTCGGGGTGGAATTCCATGCTTAAAAATGTTATTATTAGGTGTTTTTAAAAATCGAGTGTTTTTGCTGCCCGAGGAAGAAAACGCGTGATGCCGGGGTCAGAAAAAAATCTGCCCAGGACCAAAAAAATTTTTTTTGACTCAAATGTAACAACGGATGCTAGAATGTGGTTCGGGGTGGAATTCCATGCTTAAAAATGTTATTATTAGCTGTTTTTAAAAATCGAGTGTTTTTGCTGCCCGAGGAAGAAAACGCGTGATGCCGGGGTCAGAAAAAAATCTGCCCAGGACCAAAAAAATTTTTTTTGACTCAAATGTAACAACGGATGCTAGAATGTGGTTCGGGGTGGAATTCCATGCTTAAAAATGTTATTATTAGGTGTTTTTAAAAATCGAGTGTTTTTGCTGCCCGAGGAAGAAAACGCGTGATGCCGGGGTCAGAAAAAAATCTGCCCAGGACCAAAAAAATTTTTTTGACTCAAATGTAACAACGGATGCTAGAATGTGGTTCGGGGTGGAATTCCATGCTTAAAAATGTTATTATTAGCTGTTTTTAAAAATCGAGTGTTTTTGCTCCCAGAGGAAGAAAACGCGTGATGCCGGGGTCAGAAAAAAATCTGCCCAGGACCAAAAAAATTTTTTTTGACTCAAATGTAACAACGGATGCTAGAATGTGGTTCGGGGTGGAATTCCATGCTTAAAAATGTTATTATTAGCTGTTTTTAAAAATCGAGTGTTTTTGCTCCCAGAGGAAGAAAACGCGTGATGCCTTGGATAAATTTTTTTTTTACATTTGTGTCAAAAAAAATTTTTTTTACTCCTGGGCAGCTTTTTTTCTGACCGCGGCATCACTCGTTTTCTTCCTCACCAGCCCTAGAAAACCCACTAAAAAAATATCTTCTTATGAACGTCAGACCCAACCTTGATCTGCCAACTTCACTCTCAGTCTCAAGAAATTAAAGTTTCTGGTTTTCTTTTTTTTTTTTTCCCCTCTTCCTTTTGAAGACCCAAATCACCATCTCAACCAGCTTCCCAAAATTTAAAAACAAAACTAAACATTGGATTATCTTTGGTTTGCAAATGTTTGAAATTTGGTTTGCAAATGTTTCAGGTAATCGTGGGCATTAGAGCCATAAATCCTTGTGATGTCAATGCTGTTGCTCCAGCTTGACAGGCAGAGAAAAACCTTTGATCCTGTTTTAATTGCTTGGGAGGAAATTTTTTAAAAAGAGTGCAGGGAAGAGAGAGAGAGAGGCTATTTGCTGAGCTGGGATTTTTTTTTTTCTTTCTTTCTTTCTTTTTTTTTTTTTTTGCTTTCTGCTTTTCCTCCTTAGCTCCTCCTCGGCCCTCCTTCCTCCTTCCTTCCTTCCTTCTTTCCTCCGAAAAATGGCAGCCACAAAGGCGTTTGCAAAAATCCCCCTGCTGAAAAGATCTCCTGCTGGACAGAAGATCCTCAGGCATAAGATCCCTGTGTCCTTCGCTCCTTTTTCTGCATGGACAGGTGGAGGAGATTAAAGGGATTACTTGATAAGTGTTTGTGTTGTGGATTAGTTTAATCTAAATTGTTTATTTTAGTTTAATTTTTTATTTTATTATTTTATTATTTATTTTATTATTACTTTGTTTTATTATTTTATTTTAGTAATAATAAAGTAATTATTTTATTTTATTATTTTATTACTTTGCTCTTATTTTATTGTGTTTTATATTTTATTTTTATTTTTATTATTTATTTTATTATTACTTTATTTTATTATTTATTTTAGTCATAAAGTAATAAAGTAATAATCTTATTTTATTATTTTATTACTTTACTCTTATTTTATTTTGTTTTATATTTTAGTTTAGTTTAGTTTAGTTTTTTATTTTATTATTTTATTATTTATTTTATTATTACTTTCTTTTATTATTTTATTTTAGTAACAAAGTAATTATTTTATTTTATTATTTTATTACTTTGCTCTTATTGTGATTTATATTTTATTTTATTTTTATTTTTATTATTTATTTTATTATTACTTTATTTTATTAGTTATTTTAGTCATAAAGTAATCAAGTAATAATCTTATTTTATTATTTTATTACTTTACTCTTATTTTATTTTGTTTTATCTTTTAGTTTAGTTTAGTTTAATTTTTATTATTTATTTTATTGCTTTATGTTATTATTTTATTTTAGTAATCAAGTAATCAAGTAATAATCTTATTTTATTATTTTATTTTATTATTTCTGTATTTTGTTTTATAGTTTATTTTTTAGCTTAGTTGAGGTTAGTATTTTATTATTTATTTTATTATTACTTTATTTCATCATTTATAAAGTAATAAAATAATACTTTATTCTTAATAAAGTAATAAAGTAATTATTTTATTTTATTATTTTATTTATTTTATTATTCCTGTATTATTTTATTTTGTTTTAGATTTCATTTTTTTAGCTTAGTTTAGTTTAATTTTTTATTTTATTATTTATTTTATTATTAATTTTATTTTATTAATAAAGTAATGAAGTAATTATTATTATTTTACTTTATTTTATTTTATTTTATTTTGTTATTACTTTATTATTTTGTTTATTATTATATTATATTATATTATATTATATTATATTATATTATATTATATTATATTATATTATATTATATTATATTATATTATATTATTTATTTTCATTATTTTCATTATTTTTCTGATGGGATGCTGTGTTGAGCCAGCTCTCCAGCCCTTAAAAGCAGAGGCAAAGTTTTTTTCAAGACATTCTGAGTTTGGGTGAAGACTGATTCTGGTTGCTAGTCTTTTTCTAATGCAAAACTCCACTCGCTCCCCCCCTTCCCCCCCCCTTGTTGGAAGTACCTCCAAAAGAAAGGGGGGCAATCTGTTTTTAGACAGAGGCAGGTCGAAGGAAGAACAAGACAACTGGGAAAGATTATCTTTAGACATTTCTTGTCCTGCATGCTTTGCTCATTGAACTTTTTAAATTGTCAGCGGTTTGATTTGTTTAATTATTTACCTACTGAATCTTTGGGTTCATTCAGTGGGTTTTGGGGTCAGAAAATTGCACTGATCCTCAAGGGGATGGAAGCAAAATTGTAGGTCATTGCTGAAGGGTATTTAATTACATTTCAAAGGCAGGACAGTACTGGAAAAGAGAGCCATTTATATGCAAATTTATTTCCTTTTTAAAATCAGAATAACAGAGTTGGAAGGTACCCTTGGGGGTCTTCTAGTCCAACCCCCTGCTCAGGCAGGAAACCCTACCCCACTTCAGACAAATTGTTGTCCACTCTCTTCTTAAAAACTTCCAGTGTTAGAGCATTTACAACTTCTGGTGGCAAGTTGTTCCACAGATTAATTGTTCTCACTGTCAGGAAATTTCTCCTTAGTTCTAGGCTGTTTCTCTCCTTGATTATTTTCCATCCGTTGCTTCTTGTCCTGCCTTCTGGTGCTTTGGAGAATAGCTTGGACCCCCCCTCCCCCCAAATCTTCTTTGGGGCAGCCCCTCAAATATCAAAACACTGCTATCATGTCACTCCTAGGCCTTCTTTTCACTCGACTAGACAAATCCAATTCCTGCATAAACCGTTCTTTATATATTTTAGCCTCCAGCCCCCTAATCCTCTTTGTTGCTCTTCTCCGCGTTCACATTTGACTTCCCAAAAGGAAGGAAAATGTCACCGCGCATCTCAGGCTGAGGTGCCCACCTTCAATTTCTCTCCATCCCACCCCCTTCTTTGCAGAAGATCTCCTTCAAAACATGGACCAGCGCGAAGCTTGGGACCGCTTCTACGCCCGGAGGGAGAAAAACGGATCTCCCCATCCATTCGACTGGTTCTTTGGCTACAAAGAGATCTCAACGCTTCTCGGCTCCGTTCTTAGGGGGCTACCCCCTGGTCGGGCCCGGGTCTTAGACGTCGGCTGCGGTACTTCATCCTTGGGCTTGGAGCTCTACCAACGCTCACCCGTTCAGCTTCATGTCTCTTGTCTGGACTTTTCATCCGCAGCCATCCAATGTCTCACTCGGATGCTGCAGGATAGCCCCCCGCCATGCCACCCGCTCTCCAAGCTGGAGTGCCACCTGGGCGACGCCACCGAACTGTCCCGCCTCTTCACTTTGGGGTCTTTCCACTTGCTTCTCGACAAAGGGACCTGTGATTCGGTCCTGCGGGGATGCCCGCAGCGAGCGAGACGCTTAGTGTCCGAGTGTCTACGGGTCCTGAGGCCGGAGGGATGTCTCATCCAGATCTCCGACGAGGATCCAGACGCCAGGGTGCCATTCCTGGAAACAGCCGGTGGGGCCAACATCAACATCGGGGAAATTGCCAGTGTTAACGGCATCTCGTATTATGCTTACACACTCCGCCCCAAAGCTTCAGACCCTGTTCTGACCTAGGCTCCCTTAAAAATCAGGAAGCAGAGTCTTGGTCCTGGCAAAACCTCTTTTATTTACACGACTGTGAATTCCTTTCATTCACAGTCAGCAAGGCCTGTCCAAACAGTCTTTCAGAGGAATATTCATCAACACAGACCTTATCTCGTTTGGCAAGCTGCCACGTAACTAGTTTCCAAACGCAGTACAAGGCCAAAGTCTCTCAGAGTCACGGAACAAGCGAATTGTTTCCTCCAAAAGCCCCCTCCCCGTTTGCTCCCCTTTTGTTTCCTATGGGAGAGGCCAATCACCTCCGAGGTGTAGCTTTACTCCCAAGTCGGCCCTGCTTTCTGAATTGTTCTTGTCTTCTGGCAGCTCTGCGCATGCGCACACTGGGAACGGGCTCCAGCTGTTCCTCTGCCTTGCTACTATCTCTCTCTCTCTCTCTGCCTCCGACGCAGAGCCCTCGTCCAAGCTTTCCCCAGCTCCCCCAGGACTGGCCCATGTTCCTCCCCAACCTCCTCATTGTCCGACTCTGCTGCCAGCTCTGCTGGCCGCCAGACCCATCAGATGTGGGGCAGCCCACCAAGTCTCCGATGAACCCATCGGAGACAGACGTTAACTACAATACCCATATATCTTATATCATACACTCCAGTCGTTTAGAGGTGGTTAAATTTTATTGTTTATTTCCTCGATCTGGACTCTCAGATTTCCCCTTTTGCAAAGCAAAGCCACAAACACAAGCAATTCTTTTATTTATTTTATGCGTTCAGCTTTCGTGGAACAAGCCACGATTGGCTTGCTTTGGGCAGACTACGAAGCCGTAAAAAGCTAGTTTCCGGACAGCAGGAAACGACCAAGTCAACAGAACGGTTAGTGGAATTCTGGAATTTCAAAGACAAATATTGGCCACCGTTCTATACTTGAGGACGGTGTGATGTGATTTATTTTTAAAATGTGATGTGATTTATTTAAAAAAAAAACCTGCCATCTCTTGACTTTGTTGCAATTTATTTATTGGATTGTTGGGAAGCCACTGAGCGTCCTTCAGAATTGGGCATCCTACAAGCGTATTCAATTAATACAAATTATTATTATTTATTATTATTTAGAGTACAGTAACGTCTCTAACTTCCTAACTGTCGCAACATTTTCTTAGGGCCGAGCCACCCAATTCTCAAGTTGAAGCCCAAGATCCTTTCTGCTTCGACAATAAGTTTCACAAAACACGACGATAATCCGTGATTTTATTCCGCAATCAGCTAAATTCCTTGAAATTCTAAATTCAGCCCCGACAGTTTTGACGGAAATGCTGCTGAATGCAGCGAATGCGTGGGAATATTTGCGCGTGGATGTCAATCTTTCCTTTCCAAGCAGTTCTCGGACTGACGGCGTAAGATTACTGTCGGAGGTTGGTGAATAAGGAGGAGGCCAAAATAGGGAAGAAGAAAAAACCCGGCTTTACAAACTCCATGTTGACTCGGTGCTACTAGCCAGGTTTGCAATCCCGAATCTGGTTTATAAGAGGTTAGGAAAATATCGGCTCGTCCCCATCGATCAACAATTAAAGCCGGCTTCCAGTTTTACAGTAAGACATCATCCACGTCGTTTTCAAAAGAGGAAAACTCTAAAACGAAAAACAAAAAAAATGTAAAAACGGGAGGCCAGAAGTTAAGGAGCATTATTATGCCGCATTATTTTATTGAATTTATTTTTTATTGAAATGGTATAGAGCTTTTGGCACGCGATGGCACGGTAGGCCCGTTTTTCGCCCTCCCCAGGCTCCAGAGGCTTTCTTGGAGCCTGGGGAGGGCAAAAACAGCCTTCCCTATCCTCCTGGAGGCCCTCCGGAGGCCGGAAACAACCTGTTTCCTGACTTCCGGTGGGCCGGGAAGGCCTGAAAATTAACTGGCCGACGCATGCATGTGCGCTGGAGCTGAGCTGAGGCAACGCTCACATGCCCTCAGATATGGCTCCATAGGTTTGCCATCACGGGTTTAGAGGTTCTCCCGTTTGGGAAGCGGGCTGGACTAGAAGACCTCCAAGGTTCCTTTCAACTCTATCCGATTCTGAATTTTATTACAAATATATTTTAAGGTACCTTAGTTCCTCCTGAAGTAAGTTAATTATTTATACATCATTTGTTAAATTTATTAAGGCCTGGCCTCAGAGTTGGGGTGCTTGCTCGTGACCTGGGTGAGCAGTAAAGTGTAGTCCTTGATTTACGACCACAGCTGGGATAAGAATTTATGTTGACTCATTCAGTGAGTCAGGCCTGATTTGATCAGCTTTTTTTTTTTTGCCACGGTGGCCACTGTTAAGTGAATCCTGTGGTCGTTGAGTGAATCTGACACACACACCCAATTGACTTCTTGGCTCGTCGGAAGCCAGATGCGAACAGCGATCGTATAATCCCAGGTTCTTGCAACCATCATAAATACGTGACAACGGCTGAGTGCCCCGATTTTAATCATGGGGTGCAAGGATGGCCATAATTCACTTTTTTCGATGCCGTTGTTAAATCTCGAAACGAGCGGGCGTAAGTCGAATCTGTGGGGACTTAACAAGCAATGGTGAAGCTGGTCAAGGTGGAATTTGGCTCGTGGTTGCATTTATAACACCTGGAGGCACTTCCCAGGAACATCTGGAGGAGCTCCTAAAGAACAGCCGGAGCTTCCCAGGAACATCTGCAGCAGCTTCCTAGTAACATCTGAAAGACTTCCTAGTAACATCTGAAAGAGCTTCTCCAGGAACATCTGGAAGAGCTTTTCCAGGAACATCTGGAAGAGCTTCCCGGGGACATCTAGAGGGCTCCTAAGAACACCTTGAGCTTCCCAGGAACATCTGGAAGAGCTTCCTGGGGACATCTAGAGGGGCTCCTAAGAACACCTTGAGCTTCCCAGGAACATCTGGAGAAGGTTCCCAGGAACATCTGGAGAAGGTTCCCAGGAACATCTGGAGAAGGTTCTAAAGGACACCTGGAGATTCCCATGAAAATCTGGAGGAGGTTCCCAGGAGCACCTGGAGAAGATTCTTAAGGATCCTAGAATTTGGCTCATGGTTGCATTTATAACATCTAGAGGAGCTTCTAAAGAACGCCTGGAGCTTCCCAGGAACATCTGGAGAAGCTTCACCAGGAATATCTGGAAGAGCTTGCCAGGAACGGATCCTAGCAAAACAGTGGCCAACCAGCTACCCAAAGGATCGAAGACGACGTCGAGGCTGACCATTCTCCCAACCCCGAGCTCACCAGCCTCCAGTTCCTCCTCCTCCTCCTTGTCAGCCAGGAACTCATCTGTCTCGTCCCCTTCCAGCAACGGGAAGCCCTCCGGAGGCCACAGGAGCTCCCCGCTCTCCCCGTCGCTCCCTTCGCTGGGCTCCACCACGATGGAGGGCAGGCGGGTCTTCTCGAAGATGAGACCTTCGCGGGGTGTCCTCTCGCAAGGCCACCGGTCCGGCTCCTCCTTGAAGCCATCCGAAAGCCTTTCGGCCTGGCCCAGGAGCTCTGGATGGCCCATCTCTTCACAGGGGAAGCCCGTGTCCAGGGGAGGACTCTTCGAGAGGTCCCACCCCAGATCTTGCGGTGGAGTCAGAAAGGCCTTGAGGGAGGAGCGGGGAAAAAACACCAAAGGGATCAACTTGAGAGCAGAGTCGGTTTTTTCCAGGACTTGATCCCACGTATTATTATCATTGTATCCCATTCTATTATTCCATTCTATTTTATTTTATTCTATTTTATTATTTATTATCTGTATCCCGCCTTTATTATTTTTACAAATATTTCAAAGTAGTGAACATATCCGCCTTCCTCCTCCTGTTTTCCTCACAACGACAACCCTGTGAGGTGGGCTGGGCTGAGAAAGAGTGATTGGTCCAAAGTCACCTAGCCAGCTTTCCAGCCTAAGGCGGGACTAGAACTCACCGTCTCCTGGTGATTGGCCCAAAGTCACCTAGCCAGCTTTCATGCTTAAGATGGGACTAGAACTCACCGTCTCCTGGTGATTGGTTCAAAGTCACCTAGCCAGGGATTTCATGTCTAAGACAGAACTAGAACTCACCGTCTCCTGGTGACTGGCCCAAACTCACCCATCTGGCTTTCGTGTCTAAGGTGGGACTAGAACTCAAGAGTCTCCCACTTTCTAGCCTAGCGCCCTAACCACTAGGCCAAACTGCCTGTACCTGGCCTAAGATTTGGGTGGGAATCGACACCTGTGCTGACTTGAACCGCTGAGGAGGCCACGAATGAGTTGGGAAAGAGAAAGGTGATTGATCTGGAGACGCTTCCTGAGCCTTACCTGCCTGCTCAGGGAAGGATCGGAGCAGGTGAAATCTTCTTTGGTCAAGCTCCATTGCATTTCTTGGTTGGAGTTTAAATCCGACTCGCCGCTCGGCATTGGATTCGAAACCGGGGCCTGCTTCAGATAAGGAGCATGTTCCTCGGCCGAAGTCGTGGGATTCTGACACTTCTGGACCATTTCCATCATGTTCGCATCTGTAGAGGCAGCAAAAAAAAAAAAAGAAACACAAGCCGTCCTCGTTTAGCGTCCACAATCGAGACTGGTCACTCAGTGAAGCGGTCAATAAGCGAAACCGCAGCCGTGTGCACAAGATTGGAGTTCAGCTTTTCCTTGGCTCAACAGGCCCGCAAAGGTCGTTTACGGGATGACTGGTCACAAAGTGATTTTTTTCCAGCACTTTTGTCACTGCGCACGGTCATGAAACGAGGCAGTCGCTAAGCGAGGACAGCATCTAGCTCGCATTTTGATTTGTGGTTCGCAAATCAAAAGCAGAGGTTAAAAATACCATGCAAGCAAACAAAAAAGGAAGAGAATATCATTTCGCAATCCGTCTTAAAATCCGTCGGAGGCGATTTGCTGCACTTCCGTGGCTGGCTCCCCTCCTACCGTACCCCGCTGCTGGCTGGGGAGGATGGGAGTTATAGTCCATTTCGTTTCAAGCTACATCAGTAATCAAGATGGGCTTAAACCTGAATTATTCCTGTTGGGGATTTTACCAGAAACTTACAATAAAGAAAATGTACATTTGATTATTCATGTAATAACTGCGGCTAGAATCGTATTTGCACAAAATTGGAAAAGCGGAGAGATCCCCACGGAGGAGAATGTGATTAAGAAAATATTAGAAATGTGCAGAAATGAACAGATTAACACTTGCAATTAAAGGAAAGGAAGAATCTGACTATTATAGTATATGGGAGATATTTTTATCAACGGTGAGAGAATAAACGCAAACACTCGAAATAAAAGCAGAGGAGTGAAATACGGAAAACGTACGACAGAGCTAAATAAGCTAAGAAGAGAAATGTTGTATAAATAAGTAGGTATGTTACTCATTGATATTCATCTAAGAATAGATATAACCAATGAACCTGGTTGTAAACCTTTTAATGGTTATCGCGCAAAATATCTGCACCCAGATGACGAAAGAGGAAATCTTTGTATTAAAATAAAATAATTTTATTTTACTTGGTCTGCCTTCCCTGGCTCTGTCGCTGGAAACCATTGTCCCAAACACTTAAGCAAAGGATGTTTTTGAAGGCGGATTAGCGCCCGAGAGATAAATGTCTGGATTGATGATATCTCAGGAGGCTTTTGGCCGCTTGGCAAAGTCATCGTGGTGCAAGGGGAGAAGAGGAGAAGGTCAGCCAGAAGATCTTTGTGGAGTGGTGCAACCTTTAACAGGAGACAGCTGGCCAGAGAGTAGGTGCCGCAACGCCAAAACGCAAATCTAAGCTGCATTTATCGTGCGTGGACCGCAAGAAGTGGAGGGCAGCTGCTCAGTCGGTGTTTTTCAAAGGAAGGAACGTTCAGAGGTCTGGATTTCAACTCCCAGGATTCCCCCCAGGCAGGTCTCCAAGATACTAGGGGGTCAGTGTTAGTGGGAGCGGCCCTCGGGGGTTCCTTGGTTAGGCTGTTTTTAGCGGAGTTGTAAAATGACAACACTGGTGGTGAGGCACTTGGATATAAACAGAGAGCAC